GAGGGTGCCGCGGGGGCGGGTTGGGGGCTACGGGGCCGCGGCCTGGATTGGGCCGGGCAGAGGCAAGGGGTCGAAGCCGGCGGCCTCCGATTGGCGGAGCGCTAGTCCTTCTTGATGCGCGCTGCGATTGGCCAAACCGTTAGGCCAGGCGAGGAAATGGCGGCGGACCCCGGTGGGCTGGGAGGTGTCGCAGCGCGCACTTCCATTTGTTACTGCGCGGACTGAGCTCGCAGGCCAGGAAAGAGGGGATAGGATGGGGCAAACTCTATGACGTAGGGCCAGAGAACTCCCTCATTGGCTGCAGGTGATGGAGTCAATCAATCGCGTTTGCCTCGTAGTGTCGTGTGATTGGCTGACTCTACTTCGAGCCTCTCTCCACTCTCCTCCCCCAGGGAGCTGTTGCGCCGGGATTAGACGAGAAGTCGCGGCGGAAAAGCCCGGGTCAGAACGAGATTTGCGGCGGGGGAGGGGTGGGGCAGGGAGTGCGCACGCGTACATGAGGGCAAAGCGGCCTCTCCGCTTCTCCCTCCACTGGAGACCCTTGGGTCTGGAGCGGAAGCCTTAAGTGACGTCCGTCCTTGTTCCTGTGGTAACCGGGAATAGTGGGGCCAGAGCGGAGGAGGGGCAGGCTGGTAGGCGAACCGGATCCGTTGACGCCGCAGGTGGAAGGGACTTCCTGTTTTCTATGAAAAAAACTAAAAGGGTATCTTAGTGGAAGGATATAAAATAGGGTATCCTTGTGGAAGGATTCAAAACAGTGTCGGAGCCGGGCGTGGTGTTGGCGCACCTCCCTAACTACTTGGGAGGCTGAGGCGGAAGGATCACATATTCCAAGGCCAATCTCAGCCACTTAGGGAGACCCTGTCTCCAAACTAAAAGGGCTGGGAATGCAGCACAGTGGTAAATCGCCCCTGGGTTCAATCCCTAGTACCAAGGAAGTAAGTAAAGATGGGGTGGGGCGGAGGGACTATAAGACAGGAAAAAGATATTGGGTTTTTTATACATTTATTTTTCAATTGTAGCTGAATACAATACCTTTATTCCTCAAAGAGGATCGAACCCAGGGCCTCGCACGTGCTAGGCCAGCACTCTACCGCTGAGCCACAACCCCAGCCCCAGTAAAAAGATATTCTTGATAAGCAAAAAAATTAAAATTGTATGCAAAAGTCACGGGGGTGGGGGGCGGTTACCACATTTTACAGATAAAAGCCAATATTGGGAAGGAACATGGTGGTAAATGCTTGTAATCCCCACCACGAGAGAGACTGAGGCAGGAAAATTGCAAATTTGAGGCCAGCTTGAGCAGCTTAGCAAGACCTTGTCTCAAAATGGAGATGTAACTCAGTAGTACAGTGCTTGCCTAGTTCACAGAAGAGTCTTGGTTCCATTCCCAGCACTACATAAAAATAAATTTAAAGGGGAGTGGGCTTGGGTAGAACTCTGTGGTAGAACTCATGCCAGACAAGAGTGAGACACTAGGTTCATGACCAGCAAAGCAAAAAAAAAAAA